TATAAGTCAGTGTGTAGAAATTCTTAATCAGGATCTCCCTAGATTATGCGAGTGGGCTAAAGCTAATGGCCTATTATTGAATCCGCTTAGATCAATATGCTCGATCATTCACAAAAACAGGAAAATATTATTGCAGCATATTGACATTCTTGTCAACAATGAAATAATCGAGCTGGTATCCAGCGCCAAAAATCTTGGAGTAATTTTCAACAAATCATTAAGCTAGAACAACCATATCAATGCTATCGTAGGACAAACCTACTCAAAATTAAGGGCTACTCCAAATATTCGCTGTCTGCTGGCCAAAACCTTCCTAGTTCCAAGCTTATTGTATGGTTGTGAGCTGTTTGTCAATTGTGATTCCCTCTGTCGTCACAAATTGAATGTCGCATTTAATAGCATAACACGATACGTGTATAGCCTAAGTAACAGACAAAATGTCTCACAGTATTCTAAATCCTTGTATGGAGTAAATTTCGACACACTTCTCAAAATCAAATCTCTACAACTTCTTCATAGAACTATTCTCAAACAAAAACCAACGTATTTGTTCGAAAAAATTACATTTGCAAGATCACATAGGGGAAGAAAAATTAAACCTTTTCGTCGGAGGAGCCTGGATTCTGAGAGACAATTTTACATTGGAACCATCTGATTTTCAATGCATCAACAATATAAGTAATTTCAAAAAACGGCTTTTACAACATTTTTCATAATTGAAAACGTTAGGTTTGATCATACAATCCATTTATTTGATTTACTAATCGTTCTTTTTGTTAACAATTGTGATAGAAACTTTTTTATTTTTTATTGTAGTTCAATCTTTTTTTAATTTATTTCAACTCATGTTTGTTAATCATATATATTATTTTCCACTATGTATCCATTCTTTTACCACCTTTATAATATCTAAGATACTTATTATTAAAAAATTATGGACATGTGATTATATATATAATCCTGTACTGTCACTTATAAGACTTTTGTCTTGTTGTACAGGAAAAACATTAATTAACTTAATAAAATAATAATAAAAGTGTTAAGTATTGATAAATACAACGAACCTTAATAAGTACAATTTTTTTGGACGCCATGGAGAATTGTTGGGTATATGGAGAAACGAGATGCGTTAACACTCACAGTAGCAGATTTGAAAATAGTTGAGAAAGTAATAATTCAACGTTAACCAGTATCAATCACCCTTATTCCGTATATCGTCGTCGTTTTCGACGACGTTTCACTTTCGACATCACTTCGCATCGATATCGCTTCGACATTGATTTGGTATTCTGTAAAACACATGCGACGATGTCGACTACTTATCGGTAATATCAATAAAACAAAAAGCACATCCCTAAATTTGTAGTCAGCTGTTCATTTTGTTTGATATTTTTGCGCAAAAATGTGTTTGTAACCTTCACCGCACTGTGGCAGAAAGCATTATGTCTTGGTACATGTGTTTGCAAAATTCAAGAGGAAACGAGATAGACCCGTAGTTACTTTTTAGTATATACATAGAATTATTTTTTGAGTCGATTTATGCATGTCACTACATACATGTTGTATTTTAAAACAGATACATGTCACGCTTTATGACCCGAATTGGATGACATTTGGTACATTCCATCTGAATGGAATGAAACTTTATTTGGCACATAGACGAGCCCCTAGTGATATTTGTCAAAATCGGTTCAGATTTATATATAGATCCAATATATATTTTTATTTACACGAAATTTTGCATAACATATTGAGTCTAGAATGACGTATGCTGTTCTTGAACGTTAATGTGTTTTTTTTTAATTTGTTAAAAAAAATTGTTCAAACACTTCAGTCGATCGAAGAACACTGAAACACAGGGAGTTAGTGAGCAGGAAAAGTGGCATTGCAAGTCATATATATATATATATATATATATAAATTGTTGACTGTTGTAATTGTTGACGAGCTACAACCTTGAAGTCCGATTTGACAATTTCAGTATAAATTCCACAATTAAGTGATCAGGTTTCTCAGCTATATCGAGTTTTAACGATTCCAATTGAATTTGAGGGTTCGAAAATGGTAGCCATAACGAGAAATCAGTTCAGTGTCTTAACCGGAGGAGAGTATGTGTGTCAAGGCGGATGGCCGTGTGTACATGCAACTGATAATTCCTGTGAAGTATATTCAACCAAACCGCCATTTTAAAACAACATATGTTTTTTTTGACAATTTCAGTATAAATTCCACAATTAAGTGATCAGGTTTCTCAGCTATATCGAGTTTTAACGAATCCAATTGAATTTGAGTGTTAGAAAATACTAGCCATAACGAGAAATCAGTTCAGTGTCTTAACTGGAGGTGAGTATGCGTGTCAAGGGGGATGGCCGTGTTTAAACGCAAATGATAATTTCTGTGAAGTATATTCAACCAAACCGCTAAGCCGCCAATTTAAAACAACATATGTTGAATTTCTGGAGCAAATTGTATACACCGAATTGTTGGCTATTTAGTTACTTCGACACTTTACCAGCACATCTTCAGTGGAAATTGTGGAGTTTCCTTATTAAGGGATTGTGGAAGTGCAGCCTGGGTGAACTCTTCAAATCAAAGGTGTTTCGATTTCTACACCAGTACAATTGAAATCGGAACGAATCGTGGATAATAAGATGGTGTTACCCACCAACGTGTGGAAGATAACAGCCTTTAATTTGAGTCCACTGAATGCCATGACGATTAACCACACAGAGACGAGACGAGGCTCGGAAGGGCGGTTGCTGAATTGAGTAAGGAAAACCTGAATTTCCACCAAAAGAGTGGAATGGCTTCATTGATTTTAATAGCAATATTGGTTTTATTAACATTTGTATGGCATTGTAGAATGAGGTATAAGGTGAAGAATGCATTAGTTAAGATCAAAATGTATATCCCTTTGCCATTGGAAGAGACAGACAATAGAGTATGAGAAATAAAAGAATATCGGGGTTGTAATTTGGCCGCCAAGGAAGATGTTCATGGAGAAGTGAACAGTTTTTTTATATTATTCTGGTTGCATGGCGGTAAGAGAGCAAAAAAATATTTTTATTACATTTACAGTTCACACAATGATGATGAACATGAGGACCGCAGACTTTCTTCTTATAGGAGGTCGTTAAAATTAGATAAGATAGGGTTGTCCATTGCAACATATGGTATATTTGATGTACCATACAAGGTACATACGCATGTGTACATTGCTTATTTTGTTCTCGTTGTTACGCACTAGGATAATTAAGTTAAGATTTATTGTTGTAAGTAATAGTTTCTTATTTCATTGCATGTTATTTTACACTATTCCATAATTCGAAGAACTCTTCAAATCAAAGGTGTTTCGATTTCTACACCAGTACAATTGAAATCGGAACGAATCGTGGATAATAAGATGGTGTTACCCACCAACGTGTGGAAGATAACAGCCTTTAATTTGAGTCCACTGAATGCCATGACGATTAACCACACAGAGACGAGACGAGGCTCGGAAGGGCGGTTGCTGAATTGAGTAAGGAAAACCTGAATTTCCACCAAAAGAGTGGAATGGCTTCATTGATTTTAATAGCAATATTGGTTTTATTAACATTTGTATGGCATTGTAGAATGAGGTATAAGGTGAAGAATGCATTAGTTAAGATCAAAATGTATATCCCTTTGCCATTGGAAGAGACAGACAATAGAGTATGAGAAATAAAAGAATATCGGGGTTGTAATTTGGCCGCCGGGGAAGATGTTCATGGAGAAGTGAACAGTTTTTTTATATTATTCTGGTTGCATGGCGGTAAGAGAGCAAAAAAATATTTTTATTACATTTACAGTTCACACAATGATGATAAACATGAGGAGCGCAGACCTTCTTCTTATAGGAGGTCGTTAAAATTAGATAAGATAGGGTTGTCCATTGCAACATATGGTATATTTGATGTACCATACAAGGTACATACGCATGTGTACATTGCTTATTTTGTTCTCGTTGTTACGCACTAGGATAATTAAGTTAAGATTTATTGTTGTAAGTAATAGTTTCTTATTTCATTGCATGTTATTTTACACTATTCCATAATTTGAAGACTGTACCGTTAACTGCATAATGCATTTTTAAGTTACAAAGGTTTTAATAAAAATGATTTCATTTTACGCACTTTTTTTATGCAATGCTTAAAAGATTCTTGAGAATTCTTATTCCTTTTAACATTTTTTTCTTGGATACATAACAGGAGTTCATGTCGCGCTTTCCGTAATAGTTAGCTAGGTCATCATGATATAAGTCTTGCCACCACCTGCCTAGTGTTTGATTTATTGTGTCTGACTCTTTTACGGTACATTCTGCTACAACTTTTTCTCTCATTTGTTCAATGTTGTTTTATTATGTAGTATTCCTTTCTTTTGAGTACTCTTTAGCAGAATCATTTATATATTAATTTTTTATTCTTGCTATCCAAATTAATGTATAAATGTATGCAAATTTAATTTTTTATGGAATTGAATATATACCTACATTGTTGTATAATTGACAATAATTTCAAATAAAACAACAAGAGTAATTTTCATCATTTATTTCGAATTTTTTAAAAAGTTGATACAAAAAATACACTATTTTGAAAATGTAAAAATATCATCAGTATTTTTTTGATAGAAAATTTAAATTATATACGTACATACTTGCGTAATGTTTTATCCTGAAACTTCTTAACTTGCAACACAAAAATTCTATCGATTCATTGTTATTTTATAATTGTATTAAAAGTATAGTATTTATATTCATATGTATATAATGACAAAACACTTCATGATGTCAATCTTCATGTTTAAACTTTAAATTGGAGACATGTAGATAAAATATATTTCTTTAAACAATTGTTTGTTATTTTATTGCATGTTATTTGACCTTATTCCATAATTTGAAGATTGTACCGACCAGCGTTAACTGCATAATGTATTTTTTAAGGTACAAGGTTTTAAATGCAAATTAATTTCAATTTACGCATTTATTTTTTTTTTATGCAATGCTTAGAAGATTCTTGAGAATTTTTATCCTTTTTGCGTTTTTTTTTCTTGGATACGTATCCATAGTTATCTCGAGCACTCCAGCCGGGATATAGTTCCATATGTAACTGGCGTTCGTGTCGCGCTTTTTCGTAATATTTAGCTTGCTCATCACGAGATAATTCATGCCATCGCCTGCCTAGTATTTGATTTATTGCTGCTGACTCTTTTAGGGTACATTCTGCTACAACTTTTGCTCTCATTTCTTTCATGTAGAGCATAAAGGCATTCAATGGTTTTTTAATATGTGGTTTATTCGTTTCTTTTGGAACCTCTTTAGCCGAATCATTTGTATGTTGATTTTTTTTATTCTTGCTATCCAAATTAATGTATTGATTCGAAATTATATTTTTTTCCCCATTGTACTTATTTGTTCCTAGCTCAATATTAGATTGTGAGCCAATAACATGATATGGTGATGTGTGCACTGGAGCTAGTAAATTTGGTGAAAATCGAAATGAAAAGTCGTTGGAGATTTCATTGGAAAGTGGTGTATGGTACGTAGTACGGAAGCTAGCTGCTGAGTAGGCCGATGGTGTATGCCAAGAGGCAACTTGTGATATTTCTGGACTTATAATTGTGTATGGATATTGACTAGAAGAAAATGGATAAATTGTTGCTCTTGAAATCCCCATTGCTTTAGCATCTATATGATAAGGTGGAATGCCGCAGTGAGCGGGTGGAGGTGAGGTAAAATGTTCCCCATTCTGACTCAGAAAACATCGTAATCCGAGTTTGTTAGCCATTGCCACAGGAAGCCCTGTTGCAGCTCCATTGGTATATGTATAAGGAGAAACAAGATATGTCATATTAAAGTCTGATGCGCGTGATTCAATTTTATTCAAACCGGGACTATGTGAAGTACTTATATGTAGTTCTCCACATTTGTCAGCACTTTCGGTTAAGTCGATTAAACTAGATTTCTCTTCTAATAAAATTTCAGATGAAACCGTTTCGTCCTCACGATCTCCTTCATCTTTGAAAACCTTTACTTCGTCGGTGCTTCCCAAATCATCCCCAGAAGATGTAGTAGCACGGGTAACAGTTGTGTTCGGCATGTTGCTTTGCGGGTATTCGTTATTTTTTCATTATATTAACTGTTTATAAAATTAAAATTATATTTAAATTATTATTTAATTTGCAAAATATAAGATTGATAAAAGAAATTCTTATTTTAGAAATTTTTAGTCTCATTATAAGCATGACACAATAGTACAATTATATTTTTAACAATAACAAAAAATACAAAAATACTTTGTATTATTTTAATTTTTAATAATAATCAAATATAGAAGTTCCTTCACTAAAGTTGATTGCAATATGATTAAAATATATATTTCTTTCCAAATAGTCTGATTTTATTCCCAAATCCGATTCCATTCTAATTTTTTCCTAAAGAAATGCATATAATTATCACATAAGAATGTACACAATGACAATATATGGACAAAATAAGGAAAGCATTTCAATAATATGACAAATTTATGTAAAAAAACTCAAATTTTACTTGAAAAAAATATTTTGTTTGTTCACATTTTCCTGTCAAATGCCCGTCTTTACGTAAAAGATTTCAACTCAAGGTGGAGTGCATATTAAATTTGTCATCCCATTTGCAATACCTCGAAATATACGGTAGCACCCACAAACTCGTTTTTATAGCGATTTTTTGTAGGACTTTCAACGCCAATATTCGATAATTTGAGTTATTGGGCTCAATGTCAGTCAACGGTTGGTACCATGGTACAGTCCCACCTTTTTCACTATTAAAATTTGTTTAGCCAAATTTTTGCTTGTATGTGGCTATGATTTGGCATATCGGATTCCTGGTGAATAAAAAATTTAATTAGTTTTGCAATATCCAACAACAACACAACCTTCGACCACACCACATAACGCAATAACATAGCCTGCAGTCTTACTTTAATATAAATTCTGAATAAAAAATTAAGACGTAAATATTTCATATTTTGGTGTGGAAAGCAAGCATATAACGCAGAACCGAAGTACCCAACCATAATAAGTTTGAGATTCTACACGTCTTCAAGAACAAAACCCCATTTATTATTGTGAAGCTAAATGTGATTAACTCCTTCACAGCATCTGAGCCACAACCTAACCTCCATTCTATCACTGTCTGACTGGATTAAAACACTATTATCATCAGAGTTGATCACGTAGCGAACATGGTTTTTAAATAATAAAGATAGTGAATGTCTTGCTGTGGTTCTCTTGTGTAGAAGAGAGAACATTTAGTTAAACAGGGATCTATTTTTGTCTACAGTCCACTTAAGATAAGATATTATTTTGGTAAAATGTTTGTACACATTAATAAGATAGGAGTTTTCTATTGCCACATGTGGTATGTTTGGGTGAGATTACGGGAAGTAATCGTCACTACAGACTGATAAGCATGTGTAGCGTGCTTGCCACATGTGTGATAACGAATTGTGTGTGTCCACTCCATGTGTTATGGCAGATGCACTCTCTCTCTCTTTTACACATTAGTCTAAGATAGGTTAAGTCATATTGTAATAGTTAGTTCTTAAGAAAAACTTTTTATATTAATAAATTTGTGTGTAAATGCACCACAAATAATACAGAAGTGCTTTCACTCCGCGGACAGTATCCGCGTAAGATCCCTAGTTTTTCATTGGTCCTTCGAGCCGGATCAGTGACCGATTGTGGAGGAAATTGATGCTGAAGAATTTGCCTTAAAGGTCAAGGAAATTCTCTCAGCTTGGAGGAAACCCAAATAAAAAAATAATAGAAAAACAAAATGCTGAGTCAAAAGGAGACTGCGGCAAGGAAGACGGCGGTGAATGCGAGACATCATTGCCGTAGCAGAGAAGAAGAAGGAGATGCAATGGAAGTACGAGGCAGTACATTGCAGATCTTCAAAATGCTGAGTCCAAAGAAGGCTGCGGAAAGGAACAAGGCGGTGAATGCGAGACATCATTCCCGTAGCAGAGAAGAAGAAGGAGATGCAGTGGAAGTACGAGGCAGTACATTGCAAACCTTCAAAATGCTGAGTCCAAAGGAGGCTGCGGCAAGGAACAAGGCGGTAAATGCATCGGCCGAAGAGGAGAGAAGGCTTTCAAACTTTGTATGGTATAAGATCCACACATTTGAAAGAAGTCTCAAGGAAATGAGATTAGATATTAATATGGATTTGTTGGAGTGTTTGGTGGACGACTGGGACAAGCAAAGTGCAATTCTAGAAGGCGCTTGGCTTCATGTTTCGATTTACTATCCGGAGAAAAGAGATATTCTGGAAAAAATTAAAGAACTGAATAAACGATATGAAATAGCCAGAGAGGAGCTATTTCAAAGAATGCGGAAGAGATTGCGAGAAGATGTCAAGCCTGAGAAGTGTGAGCCGCCTGTTGATAATTATGTTGCGGAGATGAAGATAAAGCAGGCGGACAATGACGATGAATTGACGACACAAGGTGATTGGGTATGTAAACAAAGACCGTTAGTTGCTGCGGCCGGGAAAATGAAGGCCGAGGACAAATGTGACGTTCATCGTAAGAAGGAAGTGGTGGTTATGACGAAGCTTGTCGATGATACCGCCAATAAGACGAAGACATCAGCTAAAGATGCTGAGCCACCAAGAAAGAGCGACTACACTGTTGCGATGAGGAGGTTTGTGGATTTGCCGAGGCAGTACATTGCAGATCTTCAAAATGCTGAGTCCAAAGGAGGCTGCGGCAAGGAACAAGGCGGTAAATGCATCGGCCGAAGAGGAGAGAAGGCTTTCAAACTTTGTATGGTATAAGATCCACACATTTGAAAGAAGTCTCAAGGAAATGAGATTAGATATTAATATGGATTTGTTGGAGTGTTTGGTGGACGACTGGGACAAGCAAAGTGCAATTCTAGAAGGCGCTTGGCTTCATGTTTCGATTTACTATCCGGAGAAAAGAGATATTCTGGAAAAAATTAAAGAACTGAATAAACGAAATAGCCAGAGAGGAGCTATTTCAAAGAATGCGGAAGAGATTGCGAGAAGATGTCAAGCCTGAGAAGTGTGAGCCGCCTGTTGATAATTATGTTGCGGAGATGAAGATAAAGCAGGCGGACAATGACGATGAATTGACGACACAAGGTGATTGGGTATGTAAGCAAAGACCGTTAGTTGCTGCGGCCGGGAAAATGAAGGCCGAGGACAAATGTGACGTTCATTGTAAGAAGGAAGTGGTGGTTATGACGAAGCTTGTCGATGATACCGCCAATAAGACGAAGACATCAGCTAAAGATGCTGAGCCACCAAGAAAGAGCGACTACACTGTTGCGATGAGGAGGTTTGTGGATTTGCCGCCCTGGAAGATGAAGAAGACGGTCAACCGTAGCGAGCAGTTGATGGAAGATGTGGCCGGTGGGAAGCTGAAGAAGAGTGCCGATTGTCCAGCCTTAAATACGAAGTTGAGGAAGACTATTGTCAACGGTTTAGGCTGGAAGAAGAAGCTGGCTGACAAAGATGAGGCTCAGCCGAAGATGGACGTATTTGGTACCAATAACTATGGTAAAGCAGAAGGCGAAAATATTCCCACCAAAATGAAGTCTGCGGTGAGAAGCGGGAACAAGCAGAAGAATGAACCCGCGGCTAGGATGAAGTTTGCAAATGGCACAGCCTGGAGAATGATGCTACCGGCCAAAGATGCGGACAAGCCACTTGGAAGCCGTATGACCGAGAAGCTGAGGATGACTATGGACAAGGATTCGGGCTGGAAGAATAAGCCGGTGGACAAAGGTGGAGGTGCCAACATGAGAAGCTGGTTCTATCACTGTCTGACTGGATTAAAACACTATTATCATCAGAGTTGTTCACGTAGCGAACATGGTTTTTAAATAATAAAGATAGTGAATGTCTTGCTGTGGTTCTCTTGTGTAGAAGAGAGAACATTTAGTTAAACAGGGATCTATTTTTGTCTACAGTCCACTTAAGATAAGATATTATTTTGGTAAAATGTTTGTACACATTAATAAGATAGGAGTTTTCTATTACCACATGTGGTATGTTTGGGTGAGATTACGGGAAGTAATCGTCACTACAGACTGATAAGCATGTGTAGCGTGTTTGCCACATGTGTGATAACGAATTGTGTGTGTCCACTCCATGTGTTATGGCAGATGCACTCTCTCTCTCTCTCTCTCTCTCTTTTACACATTAGTCTAAGATAGGTTAAGTCATATTGTAATAATTAGTTCTTAAGAAAAACTTTTTATATTAATAAATTAGTGTGTAAATGCACCACAAACAATACAGAAGTGCTTTCACTCCGCGGACAGTATCCGCGTAAGATCCCTAGTTTTTCATTGGTCCTTCGAGCCGGATCAGTGACCGATTGTGGAGGAAATTGATGCTGAAGAATTTGCCTCAAAGGTCAAGGAAATTCTCTCAGCTTGGAGGAAACCCAAATAAAAAATTAATAGAAAAACAAAATGCTGAGTCAAAAGGAGGCTGCGGCAAGGAACAAGGCGGTAAATGCATCGGCCGAAGAGGAGAGAAGGCTTTCAAACTTTGTATGGTATAAGATCCACACATTTGAAAGAAGTCTCAAGGAAATGAGATTAGATATTAATATGGATTTGTTGGAGTGTTTGGTGGACGACTGGGACAAGCAAAGTGCAATTCTAGAAGGCGCTTGGCTTCATGTTTCGATTTACTATCCGGAGAAAAGAGATATTCTGGAAAAAATTAAAGAACTGAATAAACGATATGAAATAGCCAGAGAGGAGCTATTTCAAAGAATGCGGAAGAGATTGCGAGAAGATGTCAAGCCTGAGAAGTGTGAGCCGCCTGTTGATAATTATGTTGCGGAGATGAAGATAAAGCAGGCGGACAATGACGATGAATTGACGACACAAGGTGATTGGGTATGTAAACAAAGACCGTTAGTTGCTGCGGCCGGGAAAATGAAGGCCGAGGACAAATGTGACGTTCATCGTAAGAAGGAAGTGGTGGTTATGACGAAGCTTGTCGATGATACCGCCAATAAGACGAAGACATCAGCTAAAGATGCTGAGCCACCAAGAAAGAGCGACTACACTGTTG